CAGCTATTAATGTATGTACGTAAGAATACAATCATTAATACTATTGTATATATTTGAATTCAACTGATGTAAAAAGCTGTATATACCTTGTCCCATGACACCATATCCCCTGAAGTATCTTCTCCTCCAATATATAAAATAGTATCATCAGGTAAAAGTGTCGCAGTGAATCCAGCAACGCCCGCCCGCAGGGGTGCGTTGACTATCGATCCAGAAGACCAAGTTAAGGATATAGTATTCAAAATATTCATTTCAGATACGGACGTTGTTCCATCAGTTGAAAATATATATATCGACCCATCCTTCGTGCTTGTACAAGGGAGAGAATTTGGTTTATTATTTGGAACGATTCCTGAGATTGTAGGTTTCTTCCACTGTTGTTGAATGATATCGTACTGAGCAACGAGACCATACGGATCAGATTCGTCCATATTTCCACCGAACAGAAAAATTGAACTATTGTTGATCCCACCTGCACAAGCGGCGTCCCTGTCTCTTATAGGAATGCTATTTAGTGTAATATCAGCCCAAGGAATACTTGAGGCATCTGTTGTATTGAACGGTTTGGAAACGTCAAGGTAAAATAACTGGTTGGAAGATTCTTCAGTTTTGAAATAAAGCTTAGTGTCGGCGAGAACATAAGAATACCAATATACCCCGGGGAGTGGAGTGTAGGCATTAACGCCAGACAAAAAGTAAAATATACTAATAAATAAAAAAATATCGACTTTAGACATTGCACTGTTAAGAGTTTTAAAGAAGGGTAGATTTCAATTTTCAGTAGAATAATGAAGTGCCCTTCTTTTTGATGATATATGAAATAATTTATTTTGTACGCAAAATTCAAACTTTAGATGCAGGAAAAATTTTTATTGGTCACGTTGATCCCTTAATTCCTCCAGAAATGGAAAATAGTTTGAAGCTAAGAAGTTACGATTTCATTTGTCAAATTACTACACTAATCCCAAATTTAGCGTGTTATACGAACGAATCGGAAGCAATAATAATTTAAATGCTCGTGTAACAGCTCTTTAAAATTATCAATAATAATAAAAATTTTTTATTACTATGATCGCGAGAAAATTTTTTAACCATTAAAACCAAGTATTAATACTAATTACACCACCATTATATATATAAATCTCTCCACAAAATTCCACCAACAATTATCGACTAATTTTTATGGCCTTCTCAACTTTAAGGCAGAACTTTATTGTGGCGTTGTGTCCAACAACTAAGTTGGTCTGTTCAATTGAATTTTGAAAAAAATCATAAGAAAATCAAAAAAGATCTGAATTTCACTATTGTTTTTTAACAGAAAACATCTCGAAATTTTATTATGTAAAGTGAGTATGGTTTCTAAGCTAAAATTAATCCTTGTAGCGAATTATATATTAACTCAAAATCATAATGTTTGTATATATTTCTATTGTCAATGCTCATTTACTATTATTTTTTACTGAAATTTTAATGGAAAATTTTAAAGTGGCACGGTTTTTAAGCTTAAATCTTTTTCGTGATGGGTCACACGCACATATAAGTGTTATTAACTAAAAGTTGCCTTTTGGGTAACGCTTTCTCGTTTTTCTATTGAACAGGACCCAGTGTGTTTTCAAGCTAAAAATCAAAAAAGGAATTTCTTTTGATTACTCAATATTCGATTGAATATGAGACAAATTCTCGAACCAAGTTAATTTATTATAATTAACATTTAATTACAATGTAACGGAATCTTTCATTCTTTCGAAAAGATATTAATAAACAAATAAATTAGTTTCTTTAAAAAATAAACGACAATAAAAGAAGTTCATTGTTTCTAGATAGATGCTAACATTATTTTTGAAGCTAATTTTAAAAAAAAAAATGACAGGAAAAAATCATTTATTATTACTGTATTAAGACACAATGAAAAACCATTTAGCCCATTTAGCATTTAATAATTAATATTACACTGCATCCAAAGTTGGTAGTAACGCTTTTTGTTGCCTTAAATGGAAAGATCATCTTAAATTTTGAGAGTATAAAATTCAATGTGCGGAATGTGCGGGTGTAACATCGTACATTAGTAGTTTTCTGCAGATAGTTTCTAAATTTGTAGAAATCTGCATTAGTTACAATTTAGTCAGCTAATCGGAATTCCAATTTAAGAATGTAACCTAGTCCGAGCTCACCAAATAGTTTTGTTTGGCACCTCTTAAGCTTGCATGTGATATTTGAAATAAGTCTCTGCGACGAAATAAACTAAAACCTGCCGGCGGTTATACAATAATCTGCCTGTTTCTGAAAAATATTATTTCTACTAAATTCTGCCTATTTTACTCTGCTATAAAATCATAAAATCAATGAATTATATATTATCGAAAAGTTTTATTCGACACACTAAAATTCATTTACCACATTTTGCGACGCTTTTTATAAAAATAAAACATCGACTCATTCACGTATCACAAATTAAAGTTTTTTTAAAAGAGACTTTATCTAAAATCTTGTTCTAAATTTAGAAACTTCTTTTTTCGCTGCAGCCAAATATAGCAACCATATATTTCAGAGAAATTTTAGAAATAACTAGTAGTAATCGATCCCGAATATTTATCCAATATTCATCGCTATATATTATCCATTTCATTTATATACTATTCCCGTTATTAATCGTCTATTTTTAACCCGTAATTATTGACTAAATGGTCTCTGTTTCATTGATTGGATCCATAAGATAACATTTTTAAACAATCTTAATTCTTATTAAAATTATCAGAACCAATAGAATTACAAAACAAGCTATAGCAAGTGGTATAATTAAAGACAAACTTGGTGATGATGAAGTCGGGTTTGATGATGACGGTGAGGTTGGATTTGATGATGATGGTAAGATCGGATTTAACGATGATGTTGGCATTGGGATTGAATTTAAGAAACTTGATGGATCGTATAAATTAGCCCATTATTTCTGTCACTAATATCCATTAGGTAAATATCTGTTTGATAAGTATTTGGTTCATGTATACCTTAATTTATCAAATACAATTAATTAATTAATTACTCTGGAAATTGTATTTATTCAAATGCAACAAATAAAAAAGTTTCTGAATTACCAAATCCAATTAAAATATATTTTCCAAGTAATGTTGCAGTGTGAAATTTAATTTTTGGAGCCGGTCTTCCATTAAGAGAATCAATTGATGGGTATGACCACTCATAGGTTTTGATATCTAACACAATAAATTGGCTAACAGGAGATCCACCAATAATTATAATGCGATCATCTGGGGCTGTTTAATGCAAATTGATAAATTCAAATATTCAGGATAATATATTTTGAGTAAAATAAATTAAAAAATCAAATAAGAAGAAATTTTCCCAGAATAGCAGTATGACCATCACGCGGTGAAGGAACATCGCCCGAGGTTGTCTAGATAATGATTTTAATTTTTAATTTTTTGATTCAATGACCAGGGTTGTTAAAATTTTTAATTACTAACAATGTAATTCCATGTGTCATTTTTGATATCGTATAGTGACAGCTATTAATGTATGTACGTAAGAATACAATCATTAATACTATTGTATATATTTGAATTCAACTGATGTAAAAAGCTGTATATACCTTGTCCCATGACACCATATCCCCTGAAGTATCTTCTCCTCCAATATATAAAATAGTATCATCAGGTAAAAGTGTTGCAGTGAATCCAGCAACGCCTGCCCGCAGGGGTGCATTGATTATCGATCCCGAAGACCAAGTTAAGGATATAGTATTCAAAATATTCATTTCAGATACGGACGTTGTTCCATCAGTTGAAAATATATATATCGACCCATCCTTCGTGCTTGTACAAGGGAGAGAATTTGGTTTATTATTTGGAACGATTCCTGAGATCGTAGGTTTCTTCCACTGTTGTTGAATGATATCGTACTGAGCAACGAGACCATACGGATCAGATGCGTCCATATTTCCACCGAACAGAAAAATCGAACTATTGTTGATTCCACCTGCACAAGCGGCGTCCCTGTTTCTTGTAGGAATGCTAGTTAGTGTAATATCAACCCAAGGAATACTTGAGGTATCTACTGCGTTGAACGGTTTGGAAACGTCAAGGTAAAATAACTGGTTGGAAGATTCTTCAGTTTTGAAATAAAGCTTAGTGTCGGCGAGAACATAAGAATACCAATATACCCCGGGGAGTGGAGTGTAGGCATTAACGCCAGACAAAAGATAAAATGTAGTAGTAATAAATAAAAAAATATCGATTTTACGCATTGCACTGCAAAGAGTTTAGGAGAAGGGTAGATTTCAATTTTCAGTAGAATAATGAAGTATCCTTCTTTTTGATGATATATAAATTATTTTGTGCTCAAACCAAACCAAATGTAATCCTCATTTTATATCAGGATTTTTGTGTGATACAAAGTAAATGGTTCATTCCCATTTGAAAATATCATTATCTATTTTTTATTAATCTTTGGATCGTTTCTTTAAAGATGGATGATTGTTGATTTCTTTTGAAAAGAAAATTCAATTTAAATAAACTTCTATAAGTTACATCAAATAAAAAATCAACATAGTTTACCAGATCTTTCTTTAAAAACTACAGTATATGGATTAGTTATTGATGATGAATTCAGTGGAATCAATGATGAAACTTTATTGATATTTTGTTTTTTTTTTTTTTGTATTTCTTGGTATCAACTCAAGCCTGCTAAAAGGTTCCAGAAAAGACCATGATTTGAATACCGGTAGTTTTAAGAGAATGGTTTACTACATATATGCCTCTTACCAATATTGATATATATGAGTATGTTTTCTTTTTTAAACATCTACTACTCACTTTCGATATTTGTTTTTGATTCAATTCCCAAGAAAAAACATTCACATTAATATTATAATTATAACTAATTATTCCTTTTACCCATTGAATATAATATACACACATAAAAATCTGTAGTAACAATATTCATAAAAAAAGTTGAATATGTAAATTTATTGAATAAAAAAAAATTGTTTTGAAGTAATTCTTACGTGTAAACGCAAACTTGAGGCGTATTCATGGATAGGCAATTGACTGTCTAATCTGAAACTAGAAGTCCATTCCATCTATCCCTATGATTATTATTAATAAGAGATTTTGCTTAAGTTAGTTACGAGATTTATAACAAAATTCCTCTTTTTAAAACTAATATATTTTTGAGATCTAGGACTGATTGTGAAGAGGTCTTAACTGGTTCTGAAACCAGAAGTTTTATTTTATAAGAATTTCTGTGTAAAGTTACAAGAAAGAGTAAGGTTCTAACAGAAACCTACCTTTTAAGCTCCCATTTACTTGGGATTAATTATTAGTGATAGGTGTGTAACAATTTACGGGTTATTTGTTCGATGATAATTATCCGCAACATTAATTTACTCGTGATAATCAGTTTACGTTACATTATTTATTTGTTGCTAATTATTATTATGTCTAGAAACCTTTGGAATAGATGAGATTATCATTTATATTTTTCATTTTTTGAAGATAATAAAAATAACTTATATTTTACAATCATTAAAGTACTTGTTCGTAAAAGAGCGTTTTAATTCATTTTGAAAAGTAATTCTTTACAGTAACTGTTGTATAACAATTACATGATATGAAGTAATGAATGGACAAGAACTAGTTAAATCATCTAGAGCCAATCTCCATGTTTTTCTTATTGGCACATCCTTGAATTGCTTCTCTTGTTTTTTTCCTAGGATTAGTATTTAAAAATTGTTTTTAGCGGAAATAGCAATTTATTTCTTCTCAAATTAACACACGAATTCTAGTTATCATTTGATTAAACGAATCCAACTCATTATTAAAAACCTTCCATGACTTTTCAATATCTTCCAATATTTGGTTTATGTTATAGAGCATTTTTGTTAAAGATGTTTACAGCATATAGGATATTTGCAGTTTGATTTTTTTGCGAAAATATGTGAACTGGTGACGTTTTTATAATGAGTTTTACGTCCATTGAACACAGTATCGTTTGTGGCATTTACTTAGATTCGTTTCCAATGCAATAAAATAAATCTTAAAAAATTTAAACATACATGCATCTCATCTGTAGTAGGGAAACAAAGGCTCATTTATTTCAAACCAAAAAAATATTGCGCTTTGAATGTTTAATACTTGTTTCAAATAGTTTATTTGTTAATTTCCTTTGCGGACGTTATAAAGTATATAAAAAAAGGTTGAATGTATAATAATAACTTTTAACCCTGAAATTACTTTATATAATTTGGACCAATGATAAAAATAGCTACTAAAATTTTGACCCCTACAATTTCTTTGTGGTACACCCCATATTAATATAATACTGAATAACGAAATCTTTTTGATCCGACTTTTTTTAAATTATGATATCAACTAGATATTCTGTATTAAAAGCATATAAAAACCTATTAAAGGTTCAAAAAATTACTTTTAATGGTAAGCGTTGAATTGATTAAATTAAAGTAATTAAATTATATTAAATTATATAAATTAAATAGAATTTAATTTAAATCCAAATTTACTAGGAGATAATTATGCATTAAAAGGTCAGAAACCAAACTTTTAATTCTCAAATTAATTCAATTAATTCCAATAAATTCAATAAAATTTCCATTCCTTCCTTGTCATTAATTAATCAAACAGAAGCAAAAAGAAAAACATGGGAGGAATTTAGAAAAAATAAAGACGAAGTTGACATTATAAAAATCAACAAGGTTAAATTGGATTTTGATTAAATTGACCAATCAAAATTTTAATTAATATTTATTAATTGATGTTTATTATTATTGGGCCATTATTATTATTATCAGTGTATTGGAGAAGCTGAGGAGGTTGCTGGCATTCTAAAAAAGAATATTGTACAAGCAGTTTTAGTTGATAATGATCAAAAATTATTTAGTAACTAATTTTTTTATGATTTTATTAGATTTTATTTTCTGTTTCATTGATATTAATTAATTTCTTCTAATTTGTAGAATTAAATATAACTAAAGATACAGAATTGGGAGATAATGAATCAATTAAGAATCCTTTATCAGCAAAAGATTTAAAGGAACAGTTAGGTTGTACTTGTCCATAAACATCACAAGAAAGTAAAATATTGTGGAAGAATTGTCTTGATTGGATTTAGAACTAAAAAAATTAAAAAATAAATTAGAACTGAACTTTAAAATAAAATGATTACAAAATCTTACAGTGACAAATAATTATTTTGTCTCCAAATATTCTTTTGCATTGAACAAATATTCTTTTTTGAGAGGAACGAACATTATTATATAAGAGAAGAAATTGTGTCACAGAATACTTGAAGTATTTATTTACAAATGCTTGGGATGCTTGACATAATAATGGAAATAAAATTTTATTTAAGATGGAAGATCTTTATAATAAATATTAATCAAGTCTAAATCTGATTTATTTCTTATTTATTTAATTAAACCGATCACTAATTCATATGTGTCAACTTTTATCATAGTACAAATTTATTACTTTCAACATAGTTTTCCAATAGGATTGGGGGGGATTGAATATTTTAATCTTTTAAACTATTATAATGAATCTTCAGTCTATTATGACACTCTAAACTTGGCCTTTTTCTTCGAAAAAAATTGTAATAACCGTTTTTATTAAAATAGTTTTCAAATTTGAAAGTGGGCCCTTAAACTATTCGTGATAATAATAGTAATAGTAATAGTAATGGTAATAGTAATGGTAATAGTAATAATAATTTAATTTAATAATTTTGGGGGCCATTATTTTAATTTAATTGTAACATGTGATTGGCCAGCATTTTTTATAATTTTTTTGATCATCAAATTTCGTTCACATGACTCACATTTAAGTAGACAAAAAACCTTAAAATTGAACTTATTTGGGTATTATTTACAAATATTTGTGTCTTTGCCTTGTAGTAAGTCATAACCATTCTTGACTTTTTTTGCTTGTTCAACAAAACTTATTATTATAAACTTTATTTTGACCTATAAAATTTAATCAATAATATAATTTAATTCACAGTTTTTTTATTTTAAAATGAATCCAATATTTGAAGATTGTTAAATACTGAAAATTTTTATGATGTAAAAATATATATTGGTGCAGAAGCAAACATTAAAGAAGTTCATGCACATGCATCTATAATAACAACTCATTGTCCATTTTTTAACAATGAATTAAATAATGCAACAAAAGAAAATGGTTATTACATTGTTAAGAAAGCTAATATTGGTGAAAAATGTTTCAACCTTATTCTCAAGTAAGTTCAAATAAATTTATTATTCATTCATTTACTTATTTATTTATTTATCATTATTGAATATAAAATAATTCCAATAAATCTGTTTAATAATTTATTTATCTTTTAAGATTTTTATATACATGTAAAATTGAAATTGAAGATTATTCTGGTGCTGAAGTATTGGAATTATTGACTGCAACAGATGAACTTGGTATTGAGTCACTTTATGAATATACAATGAAATACTTTATTGAAAATTATGAAGATTATATAGAAGAAAATCCAGTTAAAATTCTACAATTGATTTATGCTAACAAAAATTTTAATGAATTGAAAAACATTTATATGGAAAAATTTTGTGAATATAGTGAAAAATTATTTGAATCAAGTGAATTTAAATCATTGGAAAAACCAATTCTATTGGAAATTCTCAAAAGGGATGATTTTTTTGTTGATGAAATAGTTATTTGGGAAAGCATTCTTAAATGGGGATTGACAAAACATCCAGAAATCAATAATATCAATCCTGAAGATTGGTCATCACAAAATTTTGTTGATTTAGGCAACACATTAAAAGATTTTTTTTCTCTAATAAGATTTCAGGATATTTCTAAAGAGGATTTTCTTGATAAAATTGAACCATATAATATGCTTTTTCCTAGGACCTTATGGAAACCCCTTTTACAATATTATGTAATTCCAGATAAACAACAAACATTAAATTTATTACCATCAAGATTTTCAAATTTGAACTCAACACTTGAATCATTGACAATTAATCAAAAGCTTACTTTGCTTTTTGCAAGTTGGATTGATAGAAAAAGTCCACCATATACCTCATTTAGGGAAGTCAAGTATGAATTTAAACTTTTATATTGTAGTAGCAGAGATGGTCTAAATGCTCCTGCATTTCATCAAAAATGTGATAATATCAATAAAACTCTTGTAGTTGCCAAAATACAAAATTCTGAGCAAATAGTTGGTGGTTATAATCCACTTGATTGGAATGGAGGAGATAGTGTATTTAAAAATACAACTGAAAGTTTTATTTTTAATTTGAGTAATAGAAATGATATAAACACTGCAAAATTTAGTTATGTTTTGAACAGGAGGTGTCGATTTGCAATTTATGTTCATCCTAGTTTTTTACCAGTTTTTGGTACTAGCAGTAATAATGATATTATGTTTCGAACACATGGCAGTATTTATAGTAGTCCAACAGATTATGCCAATATCAATATAGTAAGTGATAGTAAATTTGATGAATTGGAAGTTTTTCAAATAATTGACAAAAAAAAATAATAATAAATACAATGTTAGATTATCATTATATTTTCTTTATATGTTTTTAATTAGTTATGGTTTAATTACCTTAATAGATTATTACTAGTGTGAAAAGACAAAAATGTCAATAACTAATAAAATTTTGGGGTGAGTGTTTGAATACAAAATTCTGATTGGCTAATTTGAGTTTCACGCGCGTGAATTTCAAATTGGCGCAGATTCCAAATTCACACACAACACTTGAAAAAATGGGGGTAGAAGATAACTTTCTTCAGAACCTTGCTTGAATGAATAGGGAGGACAAATACCACATTAACATTCAAATAAAATTTCTATAAAATCATTATCTTTTTAAAAATAAAATCCTTAAAAATCATAATAAACAAAACATTATTTTATTTTCTGTTTGAAGCAAAACGCTTTGGTAAAAAAGCAACAATTGTGGAGGGACACGTTTATTTGATTAGAAGCATTTATTGTTTTAATGAAATTTGTCTAAAGGTTAATTGGAAGTATTGTTAGTGTTATTGCAATAAAATTGTTATTGCTGTTAAACAAGTTGTTTAAAACCAAGATGAGTTTTCAATCAGCCAAAACAAGTATAAACAGTTAAAATAAATTGGCCACAAGTGAATAAAATGAACTTTATTAAAGCCCTTGAGCTTTGTAAATGTGCCATATTTATTTGTTTACAGTTATCCTATATGCTTACAGGCTTTCAAGGCGCAAGAAAAAGGCAGTAAATGAGAGCCAAAGTAAATTTGTAAACCAATTAGTTGACAAGCACCAAATTATTTGCAATTAACTGACAAGAGTCTGCCATACATGTTAAATAATCAGTTAACAGAAAGGCTAAATGTATCTTTATCATTTGATCCATCTTCAACTCTAGCCTGAAACTCAAGCTTAATATGATTGAATTCTACATTAGAATTCCATGTTTAATAAACTCACATCCTAATGCATTATTTTTTTTTTTGATTTAAAGTCCACCTACTTGGAATGAACACAAGCAGTAAGATAAAATTTTTTTTGTGCTTTTAAATTTTCAAAATCAAATACTTGATTACCAACAAACCATTCATATCTCAATGTTAAACAGAAAATAAAATTGCATGTTATTTTTTTTGTATATGTGCGTAAAGGATGATATATATATATATAACCATTATTACCTGAACCATACCATTATTTACATGATGAAACCCCCCCCCCTATTTTGAGCATTTCAATACATAATTTATTCAATTGAACTGAAAATAAATGTCAATCAATAGTTCTTTCAAAATTTTTTATATCCTCGAAGCCAAACATCATTACAAAATTTTTGATCACAATTGAAGATAGTTGTCATAAATGGGCCACACTGACAAATATAGTCAGTGAATTTCCTTATTTCTTTTAACAATAGTAGTTGTAAAATAAAGGGTACTTATTTCTACTAAGTTTTCATATCAACTCCAAGTATTATCTGCTGTTAATGGTGCTTTGACCTGTCACTGTTTGGAATTTATTTGAATATAAGTTAGGATCAATATTTCCTTGTAAATTAAAGTTATGTGATTAGAATTCATGGGTTTGATTATTAGATGAAATTTTACAATTAGCTCATTTCTACAAATATTTTTATTTGTCATATATATACTACATTTAATTTGTGATCTGGGGTAAATTCAGCAAATTGAAATACTTCCCTTCTAGATATCATGACCAAAATATCCACATATAAAAAAACAATGTGATTTTTAGGTATATTAGAACCATAAAATTGTTTTTATTTATAAAAAAAACAAACTCTTTGTGTAACTCTCGCAATAACTTTAAAACTTGACCATGTAATTTCTCCCATCATCAAGTCCCGGAAAATAATTTGCAGGAGAGTTAAAATAGTTTTCTTTATTGTTTCTAAATAAAATTGGTTTCTATTATTTATAATTTTATTAAAGATTGTATCAATAATAACATAGTTCAAATAAACTGATTTCTTGTGGTGGGCAATCACAGCAAAAGCAGATTGTTAATATTAAAACTATTAGTAAGGAAACATATCACTCTAATTGGATTTATATCATGATTTAATTTTAATAATTATGTGATAAATTGCTTGAAAAATTCATTTATTATAATTTGTTAACATTTTATCAGCTTCTATATTGCTAGACATATGTTCTGATTCACAAACATAACCTGGCAGTTGATTTTTGTAGAAATAATACAAAGTAAAAATTGTCATGCCTAAACAAATAAGGTAAAATTCTGAACCATTTTCAGTAGAAGTTTCATGCCACCAATGACAAGCAAAAAGTTTATAGTGTAAATTAAAGTCCATTTATTCCTTGAGATGCAAGTGTTGGTGAATAGAAATTTTATACATGTACAAAAAAATTTTTTTTAATATATGAATGCAGCTAGCTATAAAGTTTAAAAAAAATTTATATATGGACGGACGTGTCTGGATTCACAAAATTCTATCACGTATCACTAATTAAATTAGAGATTCCTTTTTTTATGATTTAATTGTAACATTCACAATTTTTTTATTTTAAAATGAATCCAATATTTGAAAAATATTTTAATGAAAATGAAAGATTGTTAAATACTGAAAATTTTTATGATGTAAAAATATATGTTGGTGCAAAACCAAACATTAAAGAAGTTCATGCACATGCATCTATAATATCAGCTCATTGTCCATTTTTTAACAATGAATTAAATAATGCAACAAAAGAAAATGGTTATTATATTGTTAAGAAAGCTAATATTGGTGAAAAATGTTTCAACTCTATTCTCAAGTAAGTTCAAATAAATTTATTATTCATTCATTTACTTATTTATTTATTTATTATTGAATATAAAATAATTCCAATAAATCTTTTTAATAATTTA